CTCATCCTTCCTACGCCAAGTGTTCTAAAACAGTCAGGGTTAACATTTCTCCTGCTGGAGCGGCGGCTGTCGATAGCCGCGGAAGCGTCCTTCAGCCGCTCACTTAATCAGAGGGATCAGCCAAGATCCGTCTGGGCACGCCTTCCACCCAGAAGCCCCGAGGTCCCCTCTGCAGGTGGCGAGCCAGCTGCCCGGTGAGCACCAAGTGGGCTCCCCGAATCGGCTTGAGCAAACAGTTTGTCCAGAGCAGGAAAACAGATGTGGCGAGGGCCCACCGCTCCCCAGGGTCAACAGGCAAAGCCTCCACAGCCACACAGCTGGAGCTGGAGCTGGAGCTGGAGCTGGAGGCCCACCGGGTCTGCTGGTGGCATGGCCCCAAGCACCTCACCAAACACTCTAAGCCTCTGAGTCTGGGTCAATGAAATGGGGGTAAAAACACTCCCCTCCCAGGCTCGTGTGGAGATGAAATGTGGAATAAGCAAAGGGTCTGGCATCCATTCACTCATTTCAGCGTGGCCTGGCCCCGGTGAGCACTCAGCCATCTGCCCTCCGGTGTCCTTGCAGCGTCTCTGTGGTGGGGCCCAATCATGATGCAAGAACGAGGGGGGCACGGGAAGACCCTTCTAGGAAATCAAGAGAAATGATCATTTATGGGTCCAGACCAGTGGGCCACTCATTTCCATGCGCCATAACGCCCTCCCCTCCCCAAAAGACAGGGCCACCCAGAGGAGCAGGAGCCAGCCAAGGGCGGAGGACAGCGAAGTTGCACGCAGTGGGGTCCAGTGCAGAGGACACCCTCCCCATGCAAAGGGCACATGCCGTCCCATCACGAGAAGGAAGCTGCTACCCCACCAACGGGCCATGTAGTCATGGAAAAGCGCGACGCGGGAGAGAAGCTGGGACTTCCTCCCAGCCTGCCCCGTCCACACAGGGAACCCGCAGGAACACGTCGCTGTCTCCTACCGTCTGAAAAGCCTCACGGGGCAGTGATGGAGGGAGGGAAGGGGCACCCTTTGCTGAGTGCCCACCATGCGCTGGGCATTCTGCAGAAAGCCCTGCACACCTCACCTCAGCTCTCCCTCAACAGCCCACCAGCCAGGCTGTCAGCCCCTCCCACAGACGCAGAAACAAGGCAAAGGGACCCGCCGAGGACACTCGGCCGCCTCTGCACCCCACCCACGCTCTGGCACACGTGTGCCCCCAGCGCTGGGAAGGGTGTCCCAGACGGGCTGGCGCACAGTGGTAGAGCTGACGGTGGCACAGGAAGAGCAGGGGGTCTGCCTAGCCAGGGCATGGGCTCCAGGGGGAGGACTGTCTCCTTCACCTCAGAGGCCACTACAACCAGGCTGGGGCGACTGGGGGGCCGGTCTGTGCTAGAAGCCACACCGCCTGGACCTGAGCGAGCCCGCCAAGGACGGGGAGGAGACGGGCTGATGTGGCGTGCAGGACGCTGACTCATAAAGCAGGCGACGTGTGGGTCCTGGTGGAACTGGCCGGCGTTCCCTGAAGCCGCCTCAGCCTAATGCACCAGAGACGTTTTGTTAGGAAGATTACAGACTGAAACGAGAGCATCAAAAATAATTAATCTGTGAGCGGATTTTATTTAAGTGTTGATTCATGGTTGCTCTATAAGCCAGTGGCCCGTCAGAACTATAAATTAACGAGATAAAATGTGGCTGGACCTCCATATTTCAGGCCGGGTATTGACGTTTTAGAATCCACAGATTTTTAACGGTATTGATTGAGGACACCAGGATAAATGGTCTTGGCGCCAAATTCCCATTAACGACAATGGGCACCGAGTGACTAATTCCCGGAGCACTGCGGAGAGGACGCCCTGCGTTGCCTTCTCCTGGCAGGGAGTTCTAATTAGATTGAAATGAAAAAGCCAAATCACCAAGGGCAGAGCAAGTGAGGAGGGAGAGCATTCAGTGACGAGAAAGGGCAGGACATGGGACCAGGCTGAGAGCCAGAGGCGCTGCAGACACCCACCTGACTCGGCTGAAGAGAGCACCAGCACAACCCGAGTCAGGGGATGAGTGCAAACAGGGCGGAGCACCCACCCTACCCTGATGGCCCCTGGTGTTTGACTGCCCGGCAAGGGCCAGACTCAGCTCTGTCTCGTCCACCAGCCCTGGCTCCATGGTGGACCACAAAGACCACCGGGACAGGCCTCAGCCCCAAGAGCTCTAGCCAGGGAGACGGACATGAAAACCAACAACCCCCTCAGCCAGAGAGGCCCCATCTAGGGGCTGAAGGGCTTCCTCAAGGGTGAAACCCAAACCCCTCATCCCTACCCGCCCCCCCAAGGGACAAAGGACATCCAACATGCTCACCACTGTAGCCCAGCACAGGTCTTGTTCACAGTAGGTGCTCAATAAGCGCCGAATGAAGGAAAGCGGTCCTTTAACCCAGGTGGTTCGTGCCATGCCCCGAAGAGGGGGTGCATGGAAAAGTCCCCATCACCTCCCAGACTAGATGGCAACGCTCTGAGGGCAGGGCCATGCCCTCCCTCTGCCACTGGGCACACCACAGCTAGCGGGGCACACAGGGCGGGGCCAGACAGCTTCCCTCCAGCCACAGCTCCACCAACAAGGGCCAGGCATCTGCCTCCCCTCCTCGGGCCCCAGACACACCCAACCAGCTGCCGCTACCAGGAAACCTGCCCGGAGTGCTCCAGCCTCAGCGGCAGCCTCCTACCGCCACCTGCTGTGACAGTGCCTGACTTATCAGGCCGGAGGACTGAAAGTCTATAAATTTCAGAACCACCCCCCCACTCACACACACACACACACACTCACACACCAACAGTGTCTGTTTATCTGTTTAACATCTGTTAATTGAGAAGATAGAGCTTGACAAAGGGCCACTAGGAATCCAATAATGTTATCAAATAAACTTGTATTGGATTAACCCGGCATCACCAGGCTATGAAAAGCATCACCTCACTCCGCAGGCGGGGTGGGTGGGCAGCGGCGCCCATGGTCCTTAGCGACCCTGCAGTGAAGAGCAGCGCCTGAGGAATGTGCATCCCACCGACCTGAACTTCATGACGTTCAGGCTCCATTTCTGCACCCAGATTCAGACCCCTCAGCTCCCTACACCCCACATGTCCACTCATGCCAGACAGTTCATGCTCCTGTGACCACTCTGTCCTTGCTGTTCTGTCTGCTAGAACCCACTTTTCCTCCCACTCAACCACGCCCCTGCACCCTGATTCTCTGCCCCTGATTCCTGCCTCAGCTCAGGTTCCTCTTCCCCCAAGAAGTCCTCCTTGATCTTCCAGGCTAGACATTCTCATAGCTCCTGTGTCTCATTGCCTCACTGTGGCCTGGGTTCTCTCTGCACTGCTGTGTCTCCCAGCAGCCAGGAGCTTGTCCAGGGTGGGTCCTGGGTCTTGTTTACCCCTCTGTCTCCGATACTGAGCATGGCTTACTGGACGAACAGGCCACAGAGTGCAAGGTCAGGTGGAAGGCTCGGAGCCTGGCAGGCCTGCATGCACCCTGACTCTGCCTCCTGCCTCATGCCTCTGGATCAGGGTGTGAAAAAAGGATTCTGGTGGCAGCAGCCTCTAAGGGTGAGTGGGGCCTAAATGAGGCCCATGTGTAAGTCCTGGCACACAGTGGGTACTTGATGACAGTACCTGCTGCTGTCATCACTGACCCAATCGGCGCCGTCACCAAGTGGCACCAAACTCCCTGAGCCCTGGCTCCCTCCTCAGCCCTGTGGCTCCTGGTGAGACCACAGACGGTCAGGGAGACACTCTGCTGAGAAGAGCCACGCCGTCCATGTGGCCCTGCGGAAAGGGCACAGGCTCTGCAGTTGCACAGACAGGGCTCAAGTCCCCATATGACACCCACCAGCGGGAGGCCCTGAGCAAGCTCCTCATCCCGTTAGCCTGTTTCCTCACCTGTGAAATGGAGAAATAATCGCGGGCAGCAGCCGAGGCGCAGAGCGACATGTCATGGGCACAGGCCCAGCTGCTGACACGACCGCCGGTCACGTGACCACCCTCCCTGAGCGCATGGGGCTCAGTCAGAAGCGCTGCAAGGCTGCCCCTCTGCAACCCGGGCACGAGGACACTCGAGGGGGTACAAACCCCACAATTGCCCCTAACCACCACTGCCTGCCCTCCCTGCACCTCCTCCAAGCTCCTGGGGAGAAGCTGGGTGTCCAACCCCAAAGTTAATACCCCCACTTGCTGGGCCCCAGGAGAGGCACAGACCCCAGCACCACCACTGCTGGGCCAGGCAGGCGGGGGCTGCCCGAGAGTTCAAGGGACCCCCAGGGCCTCCCCTCTTGGCTCTGGCAGTGATGCCCAGCAGAAGAGTGACCCAGAAGCCCAGGGAGGAGAAGGCAGCACCCCGGGGGGTGGGGCAGAGGTCTGAGCCCAGCTCCGCACTCCCTGGCCTGACCTCACCTGAAAACCACGGCAGGAGGTCGGGCTGTGGCTGGAGTGGGGGCTAACAGTGCCGGCTGCGCAGCAGGGCTGGTGACGAAGTTCCCTCGCTGACTTCTGTCTCCTTCTCGCCCTGCTTGTCAAGAGCCCCCTTCGGATTTGCCCAGCCCGGCTCCCTCTCGCCCAAATGCCTTTTCAGCTCGGGCATTAAAGCAGAACTCGTACGCAGACTCGCCCTACGCGCTGGAATCATTCCTTACAGCTTTCAACGATAATGAATTGACAGGAATTCTAAACTGATTCCGACCAAAGGACACGGTGATAAAGCTGAATCTATTTCAGGACAAATTACATGTCAGAAGTTGATTAAAAAGCCACCTCTTTATCCAGCCCACAGCTTGGGGCTGAGACAACCTTGGGGCTCTGTCCTCCAGGAGGGCTGGCACGGGCCCGGCCCAACCTCCAAGGAGAGGCCTGGTTCCAGGCCCGGGCCCACCTCCCACGGCCCTGACACCAGCCACAGACCAGGGGAGGGGCTTCCCAGGGGAAAGCTGGCTCCAATACCAGAAGGGATGCCATGGGTCACAACAGAGAAACGCACCTGTTTCAAGGTCTGTGAGGTGCAGAGCGCAGTCGAAGCCACCGCTGAGGATGCGCTGGCCGCAGGGAGACCACCGAGCAGCCCGCACCGCCTCACTGTGCAGAGAGTAGGTCTGCAGGCATCTCCCCGAGTCCACCGCGTTCCACACCTGTGGGCAAGCACAGAGCAGACGTCAGAAATGAGCCCTGCCTGCCCTAGCCGGTTTGGCTCTGTGGATAGAGCGTTGGCCTGCAGACTGAAGGGTCCCAGGTTCGATTCTGGTCAAGGACACATGCCAGGGTTGCGAGCTCAATCCCCAGTAGGGAGCATGTAGGAAGCAGCGGATTAATGATTTTCCCTCATCATTCATGTTTCTATCTCCCTCTCCCTTCCTCTCTGAAATCAATCAATATATATAAAAGGCTAATATGCTAAGTGTCCCTCCTACTGTCCAACTTGTTGCTATGACGCCCACTGACCACCAGGGGGCAGATGCTCAACACAGGAGCTGCCAAGCTGCAGTGACTTGGCAGTGGCGGTTCTTGAGTGACGCACCCCAAAACCAGAGAGGAGGGAGCCCGATTCCTCGCGGGGCCACCATTCCACCTTCAGCCATGGGTTATGTTGTTACTGGGGAACTGTCAGCCCCGAATCTGGTTTACTGCACACTTGCATTTGCATTCCATGCCCTGTACGACAGCAACTTTGCAGAGTGCCCTCTCGCACTCCGGGACCCCTCAGGGGATGTCAGAGAGCCAGTTTCGGCCCAATCCCCGCAGGCCAGGCCAAGGGATCCCACCTGCCAGAGGGACCCCACTCACTCCACAGACAATGGGGAAGGACCACGGGAGGTTGGCTCCAGGGCGTGCCCGGCCCATCTCCCCCAGTCCCGCCTGCCAGCCACCTTCTAATTACTTTCCTTTCAATGTGCATGAATCCGGGCACCAGGTCACTAGTAAAAATATATTTTTTAAAAATTATTTAAAAAAAAGAAATGGGCCCGGGCCAGGGAGAAGGGTCTTGCAGTGGAACTAGATTCCCTTCAGTTTACCATCAAACCAGATCTGGAGGCTAAACTTCTCCTGTATAAAGGTAAAGGCTTGGGGCTGGTGAGTTGAGAGGAAGCTTTTCCCAAAAACTTTTCTGGGGTTCAGGAAGCCCACAAGAAAACAGTATGCCCCATGTTCTGCTGCTCAGCTACACACATTCCCCGTTCTGCGCAGGCTCGCCTGCATCTCTGGCACCTCTCCTCTGAGACGGGACTCGCTCAGCCCTGTAGGGGATGCTGCACCAGGCCAGCCTCTCTTCACGGTCCTGCTTTAAGATCAAGAGCCGAACAAGAGCCTGTCACACCTGTGCTTACACGTCTGCCCGCAGGAGAGAAGGCACTGTCCCCATTCCCACCGTGGCTTTCCGTGGGGGAGTGAGGCCCGTGGCAGAAAGCCCCCGGTGCACTTGCTGACTTCTGACATACGCTGCTGAGCCCTCAATATAAACTGTTCGTTCCAAGAGCCAGGGCCACAGGGTACATTGAGGGCCTGTGTTCAGCTGTCATCAGCTCGCCCAGGAAACTCCACCCACTGCCACGGAGTCAGGAGAAAGGGCAGGCGTGCAGCCAGCCCAGGGCCTGGCCTCACCTACCACACGCGGCTCCGAGGACTGAACACGGGAAGCAGGAAGAGCCCCTGCAGATCCCTGCAGCCGGCACGCGGGCGTCGGGCCAAGGGCCTCGCATGCCGCTGGCCCTCGGGGCCGTGGTCTCCTCCTCCAGGAAGCAGGGATAAGACGAGCCCCACTCCGGGCAGTGGGGACCCTGCGGGCAGACAGCGGAGCCGCAGTGCTGGCGGCCTTGCTTCCTGGGGCTGGCAGGCACGCAGTCCTAGCAGCAGGGCTCCTGGACACTCTCTCAGCAACACCCAGGAACCCACGCACACCCACAAACCTGACCCTAGAGAGAACCTCCCCTTTCACGATGAGAAAATTCATCCTGAAGCTTCGAAAGCACGTTTCCTGGGCTTGGAGGTCCAAGCGTAAGAAAACAAGAGGCCGAGAGCAGCCTTCCCAGAATGTTAAGAAAGCTCAGTCCCTTCTTCCCCCTAGGGAGCCAGGACCGGGCCTCAAACCAAAGAATCCCGAATAGCAGTGTTGACATTCAGCAACATGGACAGGAACCCCGGGAGAAAGAGCCAGGGCCTTCAAAGTGGAGTGGATTCATGGTAGAAGGGCAGAGTCCAGGCAACTGCTGTTTGTTTTTCAATACTATGTACAAGTCTGACTTTAACAGAAAACAAAAAAAACAAAGTAAAATTAATGAACTAAGATCCAAAGGCTAAACAGTAAAAAATATATATATATATTGAGTACACAGGCCACACTGCTTATACATAGTACGATGCCATCTAAGTTTTAAAAACACACAAAACGCCACCTCACACCCATTAGGATGGCTACTCTAAAAAAACAAACAAACAAAAAATAAGCGTTGGTGAAGTGGGGAGAATCTGGACCCTTGTGAACTGTTGGTGGGAAGGCAAAATGGTCCAACCTCGATGGAAAACAGCATGGCAGTACCTCAAAAAATAAACACAGTTACCACAGGCTCCAACCATCCCTCTTGTGTGCCCAGAGGAACTGGAACCAGGGTCTCCCAGGGGTGTGTGCACACAAATGGTCATAGTCACACTGTTCACCACGGCCAAAGGTGGACGCAGCCAAGGGTCCACCGACAGACGCACGGATAAACAAGAGGGGTCCATCCATACCAAGGAGTATTACTCAGCCATAAAAAGGAAGGAGATTCTTTCCCAGGCTCCAGCATGTCTGAACCCTGAGGACATTGTGCTAAGTGAACTAAGCCAGTCACAAAAGACAGTGTATGATTCCACTTCTCTGGAGTAGTAAAAACCACACAGCTAGACGATAGAAGAGTGGTTGCCAGTGGCCGGGGGGGGGGATCCGGGGAGCTAGCTGTTTAATGGAGACATTGTCGGTTTTGCAGGATGAAAACATTCTGGAAATTGACGGCGGGGATGGTTGAAGAATAACATGCATTTTCTTTTTTCTTTCTTTCTTTCTTTTTTTTTTTTTTGTTAATCCTCACCCAGGATATTTTTCCATTGACTTTTAGGAAGAGTGGAAGAGAGAGGGAAAGACAGAGAGAAACATTGGTGTGAGAGAAACACATTGACTGATTGCCTCCTGCATAAGCCCCAACCAGGGCCCAGGCCGAGGAGGAGCCTACAACCAAGGACATGCCCTTCACCGGAATCGAACCCTTTGGGCCAAAGCCCGACACACTATCCACTGAGCCAAATTGGCTAGGGCTCATGCATGTTCTTAACACACTGAACCATACCCCTAAATATGGTTAAGGTGCTAAACTTTATGTCAGCTGTATTTCCACACAATTTTAAAAACACACATGAGGCAAAACTCTATCCTGTTTATTTGTGCATTTGCAGTAAGACTATAAAATATGCATGGATACAGTGGTCATTCCTGATAATGGAGGGAGAGGGGCCGGGTCGGGGGCAGGGAGCTATGAACACTACGCTGTCCTTCCCTAAAGAGAGGCAGAGAGAGAGAATATGAATCTGCTCTGAAGCAAATATGCCCAAATGTTGCAATCTATTCGACTCCTTCACTTATGCATTCATTCAGCAAACACTTCCTGAGTACCTATTAGTCAGGCATTGTTCAGCAGTAAACAAGGAAGACAAAGCCCCTGCCGTAGAGAATTTGCATTCTGGTGGGGTAGACAAGACACTGAACAAGATGAACCAGCGGGATCTATGTAGTGTTTAAGGTGGTGGTGACGCCTGGCATTCTAAGTAAGCGGGAAAAGGAGGCGGGGCTGGAACGATGGCCGGGCAGGGCCTCTCGGAGGAGGTGACTTGAGGAAGGAGCTACACGAACCTGGGGCAAGGACCCTCCAGAGGGGCAGCCAGAGTGCGGGGAGGAGAGCGAGGAACCAGGGAGACACGAGAAGGTGTGTGATCACCCAGGGCGAGAGGAGGATGGCTTGGCCCAGTTGGAAACGGGGGAGAAGTGGCCTTGCTTGGAAGGTAGAACCAACCTTGGCTCGGAGGTGGGGCAGGAGGGCACGAGAAAAGTCCAGGACAGTCCTTGGTTCTGGCCCGAGCACCCAGAGGAAAGAGGTGGCAGGGGTGTGTCTGATGAGAGGAGTGGCAACTCTGGGGAGGACCAGGAGCTCAGTTTTGAATGACAGAGAGGGAGCGGGCAGCTGGATGCATGAGTGTGAGGTCCAGGGTGGAGGCTGAGCTTTGGGGGCCCCTGTCACTGATGCCGTTTCAGTCACGCACTGGAATAAATGTAGACAGAGCAGGGAGGAGGCCCAGTGTTCACAGGCAGAGGCGCGAGGAGGCTAAGGAGAAACCACAGGAGGAGTCTGAGAAGGAGAGGCCTGTGAGGCGGGAGAAGCAGCAGGAGACGGTGATCCCTCCCGGAAGCCAGGGGAAGAGACAGCGCTGGGTCCCATGCTGCTGGCACGGCGGTCAGAGGAGATCTGGACCGGACCCTGGATTTTACCACCTGAGTCGTGGGTACCCAGGTGTCTGCAACGTCACTTTCTAAACTTTTGATTATGTTTAAAATATTTCATAATGTATAATGTTAATGGAGAGGAAGAAGAGGAGGAAGAGAAGGGCAAACAGGAAGAGAGAGGAGGGATGAAGGAAGGAGAAGAAAGAGGAAGAAGAAAAGAAAGCAAAGGGATGGGAGGAGGGAGGAGAGGGAAAAGGAAGAGAGAGGAAAGGAGAGGGGAGGGATGGGAGCAGAGGAGGAGCGGAGGAGGAAGAGGAGGAGGAGGAAGGATGGATCATGGTCATAATCAAAGAGAGAAGAGACCGCTGTGGCACCAGGACCAAAAGCCACAAACCAGACAGTTTGAGTTCCTGGCCAGGGGGCCTCTGGAACCCACAATGGAAACGTGTTTAAGGAAACCCATCCGTCTGCAAGTACCCGATAACTCCTCTCTGAAGTGAAAAACGCACGCTTGGGCCTCCTGGCTGATACACACGCGACAACAGTGCCGGGATCAATGCAGACCAGGCAGCCACTCCTCGAAGCTACCCAGAGCGAAGGCGCGAAGAAGCCTTGCTAATCGTTCTCCCTAATTGAATTTAATGTTTACTGTCAGGTTTTAAAGAT